TATACATTGTGGTTCTTTGGGTAGATGATTGTGAACCATTACTGTGGTGGCTGTCTCATAATATACTTCCATGTTATGAAACTTAGAAGTTTGCTTCGGCAAACTTTTACATTGGCACAGACAGTAAAAACTCAATAGTCATGACCCTTCAGGAGACTGAAGCCTCTGTTCAAATGATGCAGTCTCACATCCCTTAATGGTGGGGCCGATGCCTGAGAAATATTCCAGCCAGTTCTGTCACTGCATGGATATCAGAGAGTGCTCTGATCTAGACTAAGACATTCTGATGCTTTGTAGCATTATAACCTTATGAGACTTCTGTTGCAGATGCAGCGCACCGGTTAACTGAAATGTTATGTGGCACAGAACTATTTTGCTAGGGCTGGACTGTTATAGCACCTCTTCAGATGTGGGATGAAGAAAGCTTTTGTGGAAACTGAGTCAAGGTATTGTGAGGCCATGAAAGGGCAGGCATCACGGATGGAGGAGAAGGGGCTATGTTCTGCACATAGTAAAGAGAATACAGGACAGGGATCCTGGGGCTTGACCGAGTTCTGTATGTTGGCCTTGTGGGGAGTATACCACTGCTGTTCATCGTGTGGCGTCTGTCAAAACATGGCTCCTTCCCATCCTGGCCCTTGCACGCACCCCCCCATTGTGGCTGTAGAAGCAGCCTTCCTGTTCTTCTGTTCTGTCACCTACCAGAAAAAGTCAGAGTAGTGGCCTCTGCCTGCCCACATTTCAGTCTTGTTGAGCAACTGAGGGTTAGTGATGTGTAAGCAGCCTTCTTTGCCTAGGATTATGAAATGTCACATAAAGTTGTTTTGGAAAAATATAGACTTAATTGTCATCTAAAACCCTGTAACAAGGAACGTGGGTGTGGTGGTTCATGGACCTAGACTTCCAGGCTGTGTATGATCCAGAGTCAACACAGTTGCCAGTCCGAATGCTGAAAACTATTTCACTAGGGAGCACAATGTGGATTATTGTAAAAAAAGAAATGAATCACAGACCACTTTGGTTTTTACATCTTTACCTTTGCTAACAAAGGACATTGTGTCCCTGGTCCCCATAGAAACCATATCATCCATGAAGTTAGAATAAGCCACATAACCAAAGAATGCTATTTGACTGTAGGGTTCCCCAACCAGGAAAAGGAAACACAACTGTGAGACTAGCAGACATAAACAAGTTTGTTTTTCAAAGAAACTTGCAAAAGAGTCTAGAATTATCAATAGTTTGATAAATAAGGACTTTAAGGGAAAAGGGCACAGGGCTGGGAAGATGACTCATTCAGAGAAATACCTATCACGCAGGCACAAGGACCTAAGTTCAGACTCCCCCTGACCCCAGCACCAATATAAAAAGCCAAGTGTGGCAGCATGGGTCTTAATCCTGCCACTGTGGGACCAATGATTGACCCTGTCTCCAAAAATAAGGTGGAGGGCTAGGGAGATGGTTCAGTGGTTAAGAACACCTGCTGCTCTTGCAGAGTTCAGTTCCCAACATCCAGGTTACGTAGCTCACAACCACCTGTAACTCCAGCTACATGAGATCTCACATCCTCTTCTGGTCTTCCTGATCCCCTGTGTGTGGCATACACACACAGACACACATACCTAGTTTTTTAAAAATGAAAAAAATACAAACCAGACTTGGCGAATCACTCCTTAAATCCTAGCATTTGGGAGGCAGAGACTTTCTGTAAGATCAAGGCTGGTCCAGTCTACATAGTGAGTTCCAGGCTAGCTAGGGCAACAGGGAGACCCTTCCTCAAAATAAGTAAACAAAAAAGAATGATGGTGTACATATTTAATTCCAGCTCTCAGGGCAGAGGCAGGTGGATCTCTGTGAGATTGAGACCAGCTCTGTCTACATAGTGAGTTCCAGGCCAGCTGGGGCAATAGGAGACCCTACGTCAAGAAAAAACAGAAACAAAACAAAAACAAAAAACCCATAAATAAATATATAAAAAACAGAGAGGATCAAGGAACACACCAGACATTAACTTTTGGCCTCCAGTGCGCGCACAACTGCATATGTACCCGCAGTCCTCGCACGATGAAAAAAGACACAAAAGAGGCCCAACTTAGAATTTTATAACACTTATGCAAATGTTATGAACAGACATTGCATGGGATTATCCTTTTTACAAACAGGCTCATTCATGAAGCTGTACAGCCCCACACTAAGTGAATTAAATGCGACAAATCTCCTTAGTGCCCTAACTACAGCTGTCACATTCTGCCTATACTGAGCAAGAGAGGTGACGTGTGCCCAGCTCAGCTGTCATGTTGCTGGCACATGGCTGCTCCCTCCATTGGTGTGCCTGGCTCTCTAATGAGCGATGCAGCGAATGCTGATTTCTGTTGATGCGGGTGAAAGTGTAAGTATCTCACAGCGACACTGAACACCGTTGTCAGAATGGAAACACCGAAAGGGCGGAAACAGGACTAACAAAGGAAAGGAAAGGGGCCGAGCACCCTAAGTCTGAAATGTTGCCCCAAAGAGAGCTACTGTGAAAGGAGGGATGAGCTCCTGTGGCCACGGTGCTGTCACCCACCATCTGCCCCTCCAGCTTTCCTTCTAGCCACATTTTTCCTGCAGAGATGTGACAGGCAAGTGGGCTTTCTAGGGAGTCCATATTTCCAAAGATCTGCACATTTACTTATCAAAGAGCATTCATTTTTGTACTTGAAACAAACTTTCCTTCACATAAAATGTATTAAAGTCGGACTGGAGAGATGGCTCAGCGGTTAAGAACACTGGTTATTCTTGCAGAAGACCCGGGTTTGAATCCCAGCACCCACATGGCAGCTAACAACTTTCTGTAACTCCAGTTTGAGCCGATTCAACAGCATCTTCTGTCCTCTGCAGGCATTGCATGGCACAGGTGCACTTACTTACCTACACTCAGGCAATACATGCATATACATAAAATAAAAATAATAAATAAAATATTTTTTAAATGTATTAAAGTCTACAGACAAGTGAGATTAGTGCAGTCATGATGCCAAACAGCCAGCCCTGCTATCCAGTTCCACAATAGCTTTTATTTCCCCAAACGGAAACCTGGTGCCTATTAAGCACTATCACCTCCTGGTCCTGCCTCCTTGGTTCTTAGCAGCCACTGTCTTTCTGTGTCTGTGGGCTTGCCTATTCTGTCTGGTATCTCTAGCTTAGTATGCTTCTAAACCACACACATTGATACATTACAGCATGTGCAGGTACTCCATTCCTTTTTGTGGCTAAATAATATTCTATTGTGTGGATGTGCCACGTCTTTCTTAACTGTTAATCTGATGATGAGCACTTGGGTTCTTTCTGCCTTTTGGCTCTATAAGGGTGCAGCAGAAGAGATGGGTCGATAAGCAGTAGTTTGAGTATCTGCTTTCAATTATTTTTGCTTATAAACCTGTAAGTGCAATTTCTGTGGTAATGTCATTTATGTTTTTAATCTTTGAGATTCAAATTATTTCCAAAATATAGACTTTCTTACATTTGAAAACTTGTACTAAACATATGATACTTAGCTCAATGTTCCTGGCAATTACTATGAATGTGAGTTACTACAAATTGTAATAATGTGGCACAGATGTTCTCAGAATGTTTGGACTTTGTCTACTTTTGATTTTCCCATCCTTCTGTAGAATTACTGTGCTTTAATGAATGTGGTAAGAGGAAGCTCTGGCCTTATGCTGCCTGGGTTCAAATTTCATCTCTAGCACTTACTGGTTCTATGACTGTTTTTCAAAATTTCTCCTCATGCCTGTTTCCTCATCTGACAAAATAAGTTCAGTAGTACTGCAAATTTCATAGGGTTATTGTATATACTTAAGCAGTCGTACCTGTGTATGGCCTCAAAGCCACAACCACAAAACCCCACACACATCATTTTTCCTAGTTCCAGAGGCTGGGAGTCTGAGAACAAGGTGCTCAGCAGGTTTGGTTGATTCTTTCTGCTTTCTTCCACTGGCCTGCTTAGGTGTATGCATCCCTGGGGTCAGCATGCCCAAATGACTTTCTTTATAAGAGCACCAGGCAGATTGGAGATTCAAATACACCTAAAAGCCCAAGTTTAAATTAGTCACTCTGTAAAGGCCCTGTCTTCAACTACAGTGCACCGTTTAGGCACTGGGGAATTGTGGAAAGACACACTGGCCCTTGTAAAGCCATGGTAAGAATTTGGAGGTGCTATGTGCTCCCAGGCTCCGCGTCCCTCTGTGTTGGCCTGGTGAGCCTGGAAACCTGGGAACCCAAAAGCAGAACCACCCTTGAGTGAAAGTTGCTGTGGAGCCAGCGGAGCCCTTGGGCTGTGGTAACCTTGTAGCTTCCATGGTTCTGCTGTGGAAGGGTTGCGTCATTTCCGGTTGGGATATTGTCCCAGACTATCCATATAAAGACGATGGGATATTGTCCCAGACTATCCATATAAAGACGATCCACGTTCCTGGCAGTTAGGTGGCACTTCCTGAGGTGGCTAACAATCCCTAACATGGAATTTGCCAAGTGGAATGTGTTTAAGTGATTTAGAGACATCAGACTCATCCCGGCATTGTGCATCCATAACTGCTTACCTCGACCAGTTTCCCCACACTCAAACTCCAGGCCCATTAAACTAACTGCGCTCTTCTGGGTTGTGCATCTATTACCTGCTTTTCGTAACAGCCACCGGTGGAGGCAGGGAACTGGACCTGCCAGGGCTTTGTGCCAAGGAAGGCTTGGGAGGTCACCTGGGAACGCGGATTTGGGTCTGGCTCCGAGCCGTCCTCCTTCCTTTTAACCTTCCTGAAGGCCCGCTCTGAAAAGACTTTATGCACTATATGACAGTGTTGAGGTTAAGTACAGAGGGGTAGGGACAGTGTGGACCGTGGGCACCAAGGTCTTGCGTTCAGCTGGATTGGTCCAGGTCCCTGTGCAGTGCGCAGGGTGCAAGTGCGGTGGGAGTCCCCGCCTGGCCACGCTGCCCGGGTAACGCAGTCCCCGCCCTCTGCTTGCAGACCTACATTGGCTCCATCATCGCCTCCGTGAACCCCTACCAGCCCATCCCCGGCCTGTACGAGCGCGCCACCATGGAACGGTACAGCAGGTGCCACCTGGGCGAGCTGCCCCCGCACATCTTCGCCATCGCCAACGAGTGCTACCGCTGCCTGTGGAAGCGCCACGACAACCAGTGCGTCCTCATCAGGTGAGTGGAGGGGCCCAGCCGGCTGTCCCCAGCCCCAGCTTGAAACCCGCCAGCGCCACCAGTGGAGAAAAGTACCCTAAGCATCCGCCTCCCTGGGCGAGTTTTCCAGTTTTGAATTGCTTGGTGGCTCCACTGAGAGTTGGAGAAGCAGATGGATGGTGCGGGCTGGCTCTGTGCTCAAAATAAGCACCCCATTCTCTCATTCATGCCTTAATTCTCATCTGCTGTCCTCTCCCCCCAGTTTGCCTGAATTATTCTTCGGTTTACTTCACTGATGAAGCATGGCCCTTCCTTCCCGTTTGAAATGTTTTGTGTATGTATTCTACAATTCTAGTTCAAAATGCTGGTGTGTTAAACAAAGCTTTGTTCTCTAGCCTAGTACATGGAAGTCATCTTAGATAACAGCGTCCTTATTTTCAGAATCTTTAGTGATGGAAGGCCCCTTATAGTTTAACCTCTGAATTAGTGGCAGAAAAGGAGCTTGGTATGCATCTGTTAACAGGGTGACAAGAGCACTTGGAATGCATCTGTTAACAGGGTGATACAAAGGCATGCTTATATAAGCTTTTTTTTTTTTTTTTTTTTTTTGATAAACATGATGTATCTATTTTAGCCAAGTCTAACTTGTGTGCTTGTTTATGTAATTGAATGTCTTTTGTTTTCTTTGAGACAGGGTTTGACTATGTAGCCCAGGCTGGCCTCAAACTCATGGTAATCCTGATTCAACCTCCCAAGTGCTGGGATTACAGGTATATGCCAGCATGCCCAGCCAGCTCCAACCATCAGAATCTTCATCACTAGCCACTACATTGAAACAGATACTAGAGCTGGGTGTGGTGACACACACCTTTAATCCTAGCATTCAGGAGGCAGAGGCAGATAGATCTCACTGAGTTCAAGGCCAGCTTGATCTACATAGTTCCAGGCCAGCCAAGTCGGCAAAGTGAGACCCTGTCTCAAAACAAAACAAAAGTACTGAAATACATTTTTAAAAAAGCATTTTTCTTGATTCATTTAATGAATGCCTAAGGGCCTACTGGCTCTTCATATTTGTATTGGGATCCTGTTCCTAGAGGACAAGCGTACCCTGGATGATGTCCCACACAGGTGTTATGAGTGTCACTGGTGCTGAGGTTTCCCTGGGGTATGCAAGCACTTCATTCATTTGTCCCTCAGACATTAATTCACAGAACACGACTGTTGCTGAAGAGCGATAGTCCACTGAGTGTCTGTTGTGAAAGGAAATTTTGACATCTGTGTTAAATGGCTTTGTAACCTCAACTTGTGACAAAAATAACTATTTTAAGAGGAAAGGAAATGGAAAAGACAGGTTTGGGGGACAGTAGTTGAAAGATACCCTCAAGATTTCTAGTTCCATGGAAGGTAAGACACAGGAGACAATGGAGAAGCATATGTCATTCTCAGACTTCCAGCCAGGTGAGCTTGCCAACACTGTAGCCCCACACTAGACAGATAGACCTACCTGGTCATAGACACAGCTGGGTAATGAGTGGCTGTAATCACTGTGGGAAACCAGCTCCCAGATGGCGAAGGTTGGATTGAAGGCTGAGCCTGCCCCAATCTCCAATTCTCTCACTCATCTTGTGGGGGCAGGGCATGTTCCAGAGGAGGCCCTCCTGCAGACCCCAGAGGGGACGGAGACACTAGAGAAGTGTTCACACTGTCAAATAATGGCTGACATGGTTTTGTTTTGTTTGGGATTATGGTTTATTGTTCATGGAGCCAAGATTATTGCAGGCATGAAAGCATGGAACCCTGTTCCAGCCTTTGATGTGGGCACTCTATAATAATTTCAGGTGCCACCTAGAGAATGACTTTCAGGGACAATGTTCCTACTGGCAGAACCTGTCCATTATCCTGGTTGAAGGTCCCCTGAGTTTTGAGCAAATGGAAATTACATGTGCGTGAATGACTGAACTAATTTTCCTCCCCCAAAGCATGTGGATAGTGCCAGCATGCTAGGCTGTGGATGCAACTTGGCCAGAACTCTCAATAAAGGCAGTAAAACAAACAGGGAACATGCTAATTTGTAGTTAATCAAAGTGAAGCTACTTGCTTAATTCAGAAACAGCTTTTAAGAATGGCTTGCTTAGTAAAATAACTTGGCTTATGACTACTATATAAATCTATATGAGGTTGTTGTTTTGGTTTGGTTTTCTAAGTCAGGTCTCTCCCTGTAGCCTAGACTGGCCATGAATTCATGAACCTCCCATGCTGGGATTAGAAGCCTGTGCCACCATCCCCAGCCTGCTTGTGGACCATTTTTAGGTGATTTTCCAAAAATTTTGAAGTTAGAATTTAAGTCATTTCTGCATATGAGTATAATTTTATAATATCAACAGCAGAAGAATGTAATCTATTTTAAAATATAAAATTAAATTATGGTTCATAGTTAGGTACCAAATTATTTGCCATGGTAATTGCTTACGTTTATTACTTTAAGTGGGAAAAAAATGAGAGTGTAACTATTGCAGCACTTGCTAGACGAGCAGTTTAGGAAGAAAGTGGAAAATAGAATGAGATCATTGCAGGGGTGTGTGTGTGTGTGTGTGTGTGTGTGTGTGTGTGTGTGTGTGATAACATAGAAGGGGGTTGGCATTTGCATCTACAGACTGTGGAATTTAAAAATTAGGGGACTGAGGAGTGAGCACCCAACAGAAGCTTCCATTGTGCAGTGCTGCAGTGAAAAGAGTAACTGTATTTATCTAAATTAACCCAGGAAGCAGAGACTTTTAGAATTGATTTGTTACTAACTAGAGCTTAGAAGTTAACAGTTGCTGAAAGCAGGCGTCCTGTCTAGAGTTCCTTAGGTTTGATCTGCCCCCTAGTGGATGAAGCAGACTTCACTGGTTTTACAACATTCTCTCCAGCTAATTTGAAATCAGAAACTATTCCATTCCGAGCCCTCCAAATAAAAACACGACAGAAAATAAGCCTATTTGGATCTCAGCTGATTTTGGTGGTTCAGTTTTTCTGTCTTTATGATAAAACCACAGTAAGCTGAGGTCTCCAGTGGTAATGCTGGTCCTCTTTCTTTGATCTGTTCAAGGTTGTTGATGCTCTTAAACTCTATTTTTTTTTAAGTTTTTAATATTTATTTGTATGTGTGTGTGCTTACTTGAGTTTATATGCACCATGCATATGCAGGTGCCTAGGGAGGTCAGAAGACGTCAGATCCCCTGAACCTGGTGTTACAGGTTCTGGAAAGTAAGCCCAGGTCGTCTGCAAGAGCAGCAAAAGCTCATAACTGCTAAGTCATCTCTCCATCACCTGAAATTCTACTTTTATTTTATCTTTTTATGTACATCTAAGTGGAAATAAAACTCACTTGAGAATTTTTTCCTCTGTGTAATGGTAAGGTCAGCATTTGATCTTGGTTGATCTAGTACATTTAACTTAACCTTGACTTTAGTCTTTTGTTTGTTAGTTTTTAACACTGTGTGGGGTAGGAAGGGGTTAGCTTATTGTGTTTGAGGTTTTTTTTTTTTTTTGAGTGTAGATGACCTTTTAAGATATAGAGCCACATGCGGTGGTTCATGCCTGTAATACTAGCATTTAAGAGGTAAAGGTAGGCAGACTTCTGTGAGATTGAGGCCAGCCTCGTTTACATTGCAAGTTCCAGAACAACTGGGGCTAAGGGAGTAGTGTCAAAAGACAAAAGTCACAACAGATTCACTTATAGATAAAATGTATGAATCGAGGCAACCTTCAGGCTACAGAATAGCTTGAGTCCCCTAGGAAACAGTGGAGTAGAAGAGTTTGTGAGGTGGGAGCAAAGAAAGGAGGTAGAGTCATAGCTGATTGGCTTATCAGGTTACTTTCAAAAGGTTTGAAGTGAGGGGCTTTCTTCTTACACAGCCTCAGCTAGACTGGAAGTTCCCTGTTTTCAGGAAAAGCTAGTCAGGTCCAGACTCCGTCTGTTCTCTTACAACTTCTGTTTGATTATGGAGCCATTAACCTGAGTGACTCCATTTTGGCTAAATGTAGTCCTTGGGACCTAGTACAGAGCTCTTCCAAAACAGTGCCTCCTACAGCTTTTGCCCTGCAGTGGCTAAGGCCCAAGGCTGCCTGCTGTGCAGCTGTACACCCAGGACTATGTTTGGTAGCTGACCAGCCTCTTATAATTGTTAGTCAAAGGATGAGTAATTCAAAGTGACTGTTGGGTCAGGAACTTTGCTTTATGTTTTGCATTTTCAAAATTGGAGAAACTTCTTCTTAACTGTATCTTTTATGTCATGGAATGGTAACTGAGTGCTTGGTCTTTGTTTCGGGAAGTATGTCTAGAAATAATATCTTGGGAGTGCTGTGCCAAACTTGTGTGCTGGGTCAGAAAGGTAGCGTGTGGCAAAGGGTGTGCTTACTTTAAACAGCATTTGAAGGGCATGGGGCGGGCAGGGAAGGCCAGGACCCAGACCCAAATCTGTTGAGCAGACTCCTCTGTGTGTAACACCCAGAAAAGTCTCACTGATACATTTTCTGTGGAGAACCTGAGGCTCGGACCTAGTGACTGACTTGCTACAGAGATTTTAGCTTTAAGCAACAAACGTAAGATTTGATAGAACAAAATGTTCCTCCCTTCCTGCTAGGAATCTTTCTTTAAGGACTTTGTTTGACTTGCTAAGACCTTTGGACTTAATTCTTTTTTTTTTTTTTTTTTTTTTTTTTTTTTTTTTTTTTTTTGGTCTTTTTGAGACAGGGTCTCCCTATCTCCCCAGCTGGTCTGAAACTCACCATGTAGACCAGGCTGGCCTTGAACTCACAAAGATCTGCCTGCCTCTGCTTCCCCAGTGCTGGGATTGAAGGCTTGTTCCACCACATACACAGTAGTTTCTCAAGTCTGCTTTCAGACTAGGAAGTGATACATTTTATTTTACCTGATTTATATTTGGATAAAAAAATTATGTAGTTTTGGAGTTTGATTAGGAAGGAGAATGTCTGAGCAGCAGATACCAACAAAATGTTTGCTACAGAGGGCCAAA